TTGAGTTGATCGCCACCCTGACCACAGCAGTTTGGTTCTGCCGGGCAAAAGCCAGAGCAGCGCTCAAGCCAGCGGGACCTCCGCCCACGATCAGGGCGTCTACAATACTGCTGCTGGCGGACATGTTCGACGACATGGAGAGGCCAATGGAAGAGAGGGATGGAAGATGTGATGACAACGAGGGAAATTTCATCGGGAACAGTTTGCCCAAGGGCACCACAAGCCGGTGCTTGCAGTCCGATGGACAGAATTATAGTCCGGCTGACCCTGGTGCTTTCGGAGACTAACCGGCGACTTAATCGCACATGTTGGTGACATCCGGATACATTCTCCGAGATGCAAACCCCGCGTCAGCCCTGGAACCACATGCAGTCATTGACTCCAGATGTCATCGGCCACGGCGCGAGGGCCTAGCCAAGGTCTGCACGTAAGCCAGCGCCGGATTTAGTCATGTCTGGTTTGGTTACACTGTCTGGTGCGTGCGATTGTACATGCGTACGTACTTTGAAGGTGCCATTAATGTACCAGACACGTTGTGGCGTACCGTGTTGGCTTACAATAAACATTAATGCAATTGATCAATAGCCCGCCCAAGTATGCCGATAATCCTACGAGCACTTTTGAATCGTTGAGCACATAAATTACACAAGATTCTCTTTTACTGGACCAAAAGTACACAATGGTGGGTGGACTGATATACTTGTTCCTCGTTGCCGTGGGAATACTTGTGGTAAGCATGGCCGGCCGCGGGAGAATCGAGGCAAGACTGACAAAATCGGCATGGCAGAGCGTCTATGGCTTCCTAGTGGCCCAAAAATGGCTCAGCAGTATCTTTCAGGGGACTTGGGGAGTTGTTTCTAGCCTGCGTTACCTCCTCAATGGACTGGTGCTATTGAGAGCGATTACCGCAGATCCAGGGAGCAGCCATCCACCAATGTTTAAACAGTTTTGATACCGTTCCATTAATACACCTGGCAGAAATCACTACAAGGTGTTGAGTGAAGCCTTCATGGACAGGATAAACAAGGCCCCCCTGGATGTGCTGTCACTCTATGCAGTGGCCACGCGTCCCGACGCAAGACACGGCCTGCCTAAGGAGGTTCCTGGTGCCTCGACAGTATCGATAGCCTCGTACGTTATCCCATCGTCTCGGTCGGGGTGGCGGTTTGGAGTTCGACTAGCCGGGTAGACTCTGCACCCTGGTTCGGCTAGGAGCTTCTGCACGATATGGGAGCCGAGAAAGCCAGCGGCACCGGTGACAAGGACAATGCTGAGGAGGGCTGAGGAAGACATGGTGCTGACCTCACACAGGGCGTCGGCTTAGACGTGACGAAAACGAGCATGATGGATGGATCATGGGGCTTTGAGACAGTGCTAGTTATGCGTATGTAGGCATCCAAAGCAAAAAGAGATGGCGATGGCGCCCAGCTCTAAGCATGACAGCCGTAAGCCTCGCGACCTCGTTATACCTTCTCCACGGCCATCTCACCAAGAGGTCACCTGGTAGAAAGAGACTCCATGTAAGTGCAGAGCGTGGGAAGCAAGGGGCGAAATTTATTAGTGGCCGATAGAGCCAGACTCCTGTCCATGACCCATCTCGGCTTGTCAGATGGCTTTGAAAGCGGTTGCTGAATGGATGTCCAGTCGTTTTCCCACTCCGCATGTAACCCTACGCTGACGAGACTCCCACACGGCTTCCGTTGTGATTCCTGCGCCGGATCGAGTCGGATGCCACCAACAAACGCTTTTCCTGGTGCGACTTGTATAATGCCTACTGTTAAACACGCTCTCTCTTGGCCTTGTTCACACGGTGCTCCCGTGTACACGGCCTCGCGGCTACAACATGAGTCCTTGACCACCCTCCACCAATCCGTGACTGCGTGGGTAGCCCCATGTCTCAAATCCTTCACTGGGTGACACTGCTGACGTTGGATTTCAGTGCTCTGTCCTCTTCCAGGTTCTTCCCAATCAACAAGTCATCGCAAGACAGGAAACTGAATTGCGCCCGGCCTGCGTTGTGACTGCCTGTGCCACCCGTGAAATGGCCAAAGCTGCATGTGCCCGTTGGCAACTAAGTGGACTACATATAGCCACTTCAGGAGCACAGTCAGCGTCGGAGCAGGCGCTGGTATTAATCGTTGCTACGCACTACTGCTGTTTCTGCCATCATGATGCGGATAACGACAATACGTAAGTCCAGACGGGAATCAACTAGATTGTGCACGCCATCGGCATCGGGCGCGTGTGACTGGGGGGTTCGAATAGGTGCGCTTGATAGCTTGTGGCTGCTTTGCGTTGGCATGGCTGGCTGCTTTCACGGGTAAAGTGCCAGGCGCGGCGGGGGATGGCGATGATTCAATGTCGACCACATATATTGATGGAGACATTCGATGACGAAAACCAGCGGGCCGGCCCGATCTACCGAATAGACCCCACAATTGGGCGGTTCAATCCTCTTCGATAGGAACGTTAGCTATAATCATTCAATGTTATTGAATGGCACCTGGGGCAACTAAATACAGCGCAGTCTAGTCGGTTTCTGATCACACCGCAGGCCCAAGTCCTAGGCGCGTCAAGTACCTCCACATATAACTTCTACTATTAAAATACATCATTGATGTCAAATCATTATTGGGGGAAAGGGTAGGCAGGATCTCATTGTTAGTACGGGCGCGGTCTACTATCATTGGCACCATCTTAAGCTCCTATTCCAGTAAGTCCATGCTTTCAGGACCCGTCAGTCATGACCCAGCCACTATATAAACAACCAGACAGCATTGTGGATAGATCAATGGACTTTGGCGAGTACAGAACAACCACACAGCTAGGGCCATACCTCGAGATCTATGTACTTCCTATTGGTGGCTCTTGCTCTAATACGACTTTCCTTTGATACTGGTAAGTTGCACCTAACGTAAAGACATGGTCTTATTTTTAGTATTGCACATAGTATCCGACCTTCTGAGTTCTAAGTCTCTTTATCATTTATATAGTCAGGCACACTGCGATCAAACTTTACAAGGATCTGCTGCACGCAGTTGTCAGGTATATATGGCAGTCACCCAGTCGCACTCCCGTGTTATTTATCCGCTAATATTACTGCGAACAACTCGTAGTGCACTGTTTTACTTCTTCCTCGAGTCAGATCTTACATCCACAAAATGAGTACATGTTTCCGACTTCCTGCCTGAGAAGAATGCTTGGGCCTCCGATTGACACAGTGCTGCTACAGATTCAGCTAATATATGAGTTTTATTGATACGACTGTACCGTCCTAAGCTCTTCAACATACATCCAGTATGGACGCTTCCTCATTTCTAGTCCGCAGAGTAAGGACACTCACTAACAATGTGCTTGACATCAGGGTTTGCTGGATGCCTGGTTCAGCTCGTTGTCTTGTATGCCTTGGGAAAACACCTAGCAGCTGCAGTTCCAGTCCTTGGTGGAGTTTTGTTTGACGTTGAGCGGTGCTACTTGCGAATATCCAGGCAGCTTTGAATGTTGGAAATCGAATCAAAAACCCCGCTGCACTCTCAATTCACAGACAACAATCAGCGGCATTGCAAGAATCCGGGGGTTCGGTTGGGACATGGCCTTCAGCATCCGCCCGGTAGCCATCTTAAACTAACCACAACGGCCATCCGTCTTCACGAATGTTTAACACTGGTAGTAGATCTCGTGGCAGGAGCTTTAGCAGTCACCCTTGTCGCGAATCGACATGACGTTGTCTCTGACCGATAACGGCCTCGGACCCGGAGCGCTGCGAGTCGCATTAGTCTCAAGACTTTAATTCAACGACATCTTAATTGAAATAATTCAGTCTTGGATAAAGCTGGAGACTGGTCGCAGCGGTGGCAAGGGTACAGTAGTTTGTGAAGGAGGCCCCATCACACTTGGGTAAATCACCAGCGCCTTCAAATTCGTGGCTACAAAGCGGCAGGGTTCAAGTACAGCGCCTCACGGCGGCACACATTGACATAAATTTCTCACAGGCTGGACTCTTCATCAAGTGTTTACAGTGCAGGTAGGGAGGACATGGTCTGCTACAATACTTTTAGACCAAGATCCAAAGCCGTACTAAAAGATGTTGGTCGCGATGTTGCCGCCGGCGAAAAACTAGCAGTTTTTGGATTCTCTGGCAGCGGGAAAACGTGCTTTATCATGGCCATGATGCAGAGGATTGATATTCGGGGCGGACGAGCCGTGATAGATAATACAGATGTAGCCACGTTGGACGGGGAGAGCATGCGTAGCCACCTCGATGTGGTGCCACAAGAACCGCTCTTTATGCGTAGAAGCCTCGGATTCAACCTTGAACCGAGGAGTATAGCCTCCGGCGCATCAATTGAGGCGATGCTGCGACGTGTAAGTGCTGGTCTTTGGGACAAGCTGGCCGCGAGCTCGAATGGAAGCCTTCATGAAAATTCAGGCCATCTCAGTGGTCTCATTGATAGCAGATGCTATTTTGCCTGACGAGGGCCTTGTTGATCACTAGCAAGGCCATCATCTGTGGTGAGACAATGAGAAGATGTGGTTGAATCAAGGCCCCGCTATCTCAGCATCTCGAAAATTGATGAACCTGTATGGAAAATCTAGAGTTGATGAGAGGAATCGTGGAATTCGACAGCGCACATGTACTACAGAGCAGAACGGGTCGGCCTCAACAGCGCTCTACGTTGCCGGCGGCCGACGTTCTTGAATTCGGTGGATTCAAATTAATCACTGCCTATCCTTTGCATTCTTTGCCTGCCATTTTGCATAAAGGCAGTTTGACATATCAGTTTTGAATTGCTTTAGTCTGTAGGGTAGGTGATGTGTACCAGTAATATGTATAGTCTATTGAGCAAACCGCGATGTAGTTGACACGTCACAATCGTGTGGCTCGGCAGCAATGTAGAAAGGACAGCAATCCCAGCAGTGATAGCATCAGCAGCATTGGATAGCCGCCTGGTTGGAGTGTTGGCGTTACACCAACCAGCCAACCAACAGTTTCATGAATTCACACCGAAATGCAGTTCAGCAGGCCCGTTTTTGTTCCGTGACTGCCGTCTGGGAAGAGTACGTATCGTGTAACCTCTGCCTTGGGCTCTTCTTTCATCTTGTTCTTGCTGCCCAACGTCTTCCGCTTGCCTCTAACCCCAACTTCGTTGCCATCACAACCACGGTTTTAGTCTCGCTGCTCATATGGACGACAAGAATCCTCAAAAACCAGCTAAAAGTACATCTTCGCCAAATGGATCAAACGGTGATGGCATCCAGGAGCTTTTTGCGTTCATGGGCAAGTATTCTTCGAGCGAAAAGTTCAAACAACTACAGAGACTCGACCAAGACAATGAGGAACTAAGACAAGAAGTCATCGATCTTCGCACCACGAATGACAAGAACTTGGACGATTTTATACGGCGACGGGATATATGGAAGACTGAGAGGGAGGGCCTGACGACACAGCTAAAGGAAAAAGAGGACCAACGAAATCAAGAGTTGCTAAGCAGAAAAGCAGCAGAAAAATCACTGGACGCCGAGCGTACTGCTAAAAAGACATTGTGTGAGCAGATGAAAGAACAAGAGGCGACTATTCTACGACTAGTCGAAAAAACAAAGACAAATGAAACAGAAGTTACTCGACTTGGCACTATAAGTAAAGAGCAAAACGACGCCCTTGATCGCGCAGGAAAGGCCAAGATTAAGCTCCAAGGAGAAGTGCAGAAAATGCATAAGGAGTTAGTGGTCAGGAACAAAGAGCTTTCAAACGCAAAGGAGTCTCTTACAATATTCCGAACCTTCCTGGTCCAGCTAAGTCCTCTGGGAGAGAAGAAAGCCCAAATGTTTGTATAATAATCATCCCTTCTCTTTCCGGGTACTCGATCTAATAATATCCTGGAGTACTGACACGCTTCGCGTAGCCGCGAGGCCCTTGCAGACACGTTTAACAGTGCCTGGGACTTCTTCCAGAAGACATTGGGCCAAGATATCGAACCAAGTGTCCTTGTGCGGAGTAACTCGCAAGCGTTTGCTTTAAACCCCCCTAGCCTGCCACTCCCAGCATCCAATACAAATAACGCCAAGGGGATGAGAGTTGCAGCAGGCCTTATAGCATATGCCAAGGCACTCACCACCCACGTTTTCAGGCAGACGCACATCACTCAAAGCCGCGAGCTTGATGGGGTGCTACATCTTACTGCGGCGCAGAACCCAGAGCAAGCTGCTTGTATCCGTGCTGTTCTCCTCAAAGCGCTGCCAGAGAGACAAAAACAGAATCAGGATGAAAGCATCAACAAAGCTGTTAAAGAGGT